CTCTTCATCTTCAGAGTATTGCTCTTCATACTCATCTTCACAAGACAAAGCCATGTTGCAAGGCCATGACTTGTCCTCTTCTTCAGATCTTTGGGTGCTTATGGAGCAAACCAGTTGTTGATGGAGTGGTTTAGTCATCCCAGGAGGTGTACCAGACCCACAGATGCGTGTATGAGCTGAACGGGACTGATTTGGAACGTTTTTACGGTTGGCCTTGACTGCAGGTGACGCGACCGCGGGGAAGCGACCATGGACCGCGGGTAGACCTAACACGACCGCGGGAGAATGCTTGTTGGCCGCGGTCGGAGCCAACGCGACCACATGAGTTTGCCTCCGAGCTGCTCTGCTGCTGTTGCTTCCTCCTTTGCTTCCTGGATGGTCTCCTGGGTCTTCTGGGTTGATGTACATCCTCTCTGGACTTGAGTCTTTAGTTTTGGTTGCTGGAATCTGATCTCCAAGTCCTTGCATGATCTCCTCAACCTTTTCTTCAACTTCATCAAGAGCATAGACTACTTTGTCAATGGTTGAGTCAAGCTCTTCGGTTTTGTCGATGACTTTGTAAACCTTCTCTGAAACTTCGACTGTAAAGTCATAAGACTCGTTCTTAGCTTCGTTTAGGGCTTTGTCCACGTCATCGAGTTTGAAATCCAGGTCCATGACTTTGTTTTTGGTGTTGCGAAGCTCATAGTTGTGCTTTGCTTGCTCTTCCTCCATGCTGTTGAACCTGTTAGCGATCATAGCTGCGTCCTTGGTTGCACGTTCTTCAATTGAATTGACTTGTGAGGCTAGGTTATCGATTTTTTCATTGAAAAGTTTCGATATCCCATCAATCCTTTCGTTTAGAGCAGTTGTAGCGGTTGCTTGAGCTTCTATGAACTGTCTGATCACGCCTTCGAGCTGACTCAGTCTGTTGCTGAGCTGGACGTTCTCATCTTGCTGGAGGACTTGGTGAGGTAGGCGATACATAGAGTATCTAGGGTTTGCCATTTGAGGTGCGTAGGGCTCCTTCTGGAACGTTCTGTAGTCTTCGCTTTGAGTTTTTTCGTAGAGATTTCGCAGATACTGCTTCTCTCTGTGTCTGGTGGCCGCAAGTGCACAGCTGATCGAATGTAGTACTTAGGGATCGAATCCACAGGGAAGAAGGATCTTTTCCTGGAAAAAGCCTTTGAAATAAGTATAAAGTAAGGAAGTCTAGAACCAAAACGGTTTTGTGGGGGTTTGGTAGTGTGTTTAAAATGTAAAAACAAAATATTAAAAGAGAATACGGGAATTAAATGACGTAATAACTAAACTTAATGAAAATGACTAAAAATGATAAAAACGGATATTCTAATGCTTAAATGAAAATGAACTAAAAAAGAAAGACAATATTGAACTAGAGCTTGAAAGAAAATCGGTGTAAATCAATAAGGAAGAAGGCGTTGGGCTACAGGGAAGTTTTCTCTGGGGTACGAACGATTCAAAACATTGCTAGAGAATAAATTGATAAGATCTTAGCTTAAACTTTTCGAACTGGAGTCACGGACGTATGAATACGCCACTGTCGTGATCATAGACAACTATCTCTCTCAACCCTAACCTGTAAGTTTCCACTCTGGCCCTGGAAGAGAAGAGATGCATTATGTTTAAGACTCGTCCTAATTCACAATACGCCCATAGGTAGGTTTCCACTCCTATGTTTGTTTTGCTCTCCCAAACTAGATCTGATACCTGATGAACACTTTCGTGTCACCAAGCATCTGGATCAGATTGTAGTTCATGACGCTACTCTCATGCAGTAAAAACGAATTCAGAAGAAAAAGTTCTAAGATTCGGCTCAAAAGCTCATGGAATCCTCATCGAACATATAAATCCCCATCGAAAATCCCTTAATCCCAACAATAAAACTACTCAGACATAATGAACGAAATCAAAGACATAGTATTAAGAAGTAGAATAGAAACCGAAATTGAAAAAGAAAGAACAAGGGTTCAAGAGAACAAATCTCTCTCTCCCTAAAATCTAAAGAAAAAACAATAAGAATATGAAGTAAATATTTCGGTGGTGATAGGTTCTCTGATTTAGGGTTCCTAAGACATGTATTTATAGTGCTCTTAACCTCTCTGGACGTCACTTAGGGTTTCTCCAAATGTGGGCTTCAGAAATGGGCTTTTTGGGCTCGGAGGTTGATGGCCGCGGTCGGGACAAGTGTGACCGCGGGGAACAAGTGTTTGGCCGCGGTCGGGATGCTCCTGACCGCGGGAAATTGCCTGTTGGCCGCGGGTGGAAGTGCTTGCCGGCTGGTTTACGGGACATCTTGCTCTTCGCGTATCTTTTGAGTGAACCGTTGGATTGCCAAGCTGTAAAATGCACTGGAAAGCTGATACTTCCATCTTTAAGGTCTCCAAATTTGAGCTGGATCAGACGGTGAGAAAGCCTTCAATCAGGGGTGAACTTCTGACAGTTTGACTCTGAGCTGAAATCTGGTTTTCTATCCATTTTGTTAAGCTTTTCCCTAAGTTACCTGAATAGAGTCTTGGAACTACAAATACTAGAAAAACATAATAAAAGTACTTAAAAGCAATTAAAAACATAGAAAAAGTATTTCAAAACGATCCATAAAAGTGGTCAAAATACGGTGTTATTAGTGTCGTCTTGATCTTCATGCCTTAGTCCTTCCTCAAGCTGATCCTCTTCTTGAATAGATAGCATCTTATCCTCGGTTAAGTTCATCTGATCAATGCCTTTGGTGATGTCTTCTAAGCTGCTTTGACTGATCAAGGTGGCCATAGCATTGTTAAATTCCTCTCTCAGCTTCCTTAGTCCTGATCTTGTCCTTGGAAGGTTCTTCATGGTTGGCAAAGGGTTTTTAGGGGGCATATCCTCATCATTTCCTCCCTCTTGAGAAAGTTCTGGCCTCAAAACTGTTTCATATGCATGACAAGGAGAAAGATCAGCAACATTGAAGGTTGGTGCAACGTGTAACTCACCTGGTATGTCTAGTTTGTAAGCATTGTTGTTTATGCGCTCCAAGACTTTGAATGGTCCATTGCCGCGAGGTGTGAGCTTCGATTTTCTTTGGTTTGGAAACCTCTCTGACCTCATATGAATCCAAACCCAATCTCCTGGTTCGAAGATGAGCTCATTTTGGTTCTTTTCAGCTTGCTGCTTGTAGTGAGCTGTCTTCTTTTCCAATTTATCTTTGGTCTTTTGGTGGAGCTTCTTGATGACCTCAACTTTGTTTTCTCCATCTTGGTTTGTGAACTCGAGTGGTGGCAATGGCTTTAGATCAAGAGACTTTTCTGGCTTAAATCCACACACAATCTCAAAGGGTGAAAGCTTAGTTCCTGAATGGGTGGCATGGTTATAAGAAAATTCAACATAAGGAATGCAATCTAGCCAATTCATTAAATTATTACTGACTGTGGCCTTTAAGAGGGTGGACAAGGTGCGGTTCACCACCTCAGTTTTATAATCGGTCTGAGGGTGACAAGTGGTGGAGAAGAGCAACTTGGTGCCGAGCTTCCCCCACAAAGTCTTCCAGAAGTGACTCAAAAACTTGGTGTCTCGGTCTGACACAATGGTGCGAGGTAAGCCATGTAGGCACACCACCTCCTTGAAGAATAGGTCAGCAGTTTGCGAGGCATCATTTGTTTTGGCACAGGGAATGAAGTGAGCTATTTTTGAGAACCGATCCACCACCACAAAGATTGAATCCCTGTTTATTATCTTTGGCAATTCTTAAACAAATTCCATAGATATATTCACCCAAGGTTTGTTAGAAACTGGCAAAGGCATATAGAATCCATAGGGATGTGACTTGGATTTGGTTTTAAGGCATATGCTGCATCTCAACAAAACTGTCCCACGTCTCTCTGGAGGTATGGCCAGAAGAAAGGCTCAACTAGAACTGTCAGACCTCGTTCCCTTCTTACCTTCCGGGAACCAGACAGACCGGTTATCAAATTCATGAGACTCCGATCTCGTCTTTCATCTGGATTGAGTTTCAACAACTCTGAACGCCCCCAACCTCTCCTACCAGTGAGTCCACCGCCTCTCTAAGCCTGTGGGCCCAACGTCCTCTCTCTAGGCCTGTTGGTCTACGTCCTCTCTAGGCCTGTTGGCCCACCCATGTCCAACGTTCGGAAGTCGTTTGGTTTGGGAGGCTCGTAAGACTTGTCTACTGTCCCTGTAAAAACCACGTGATTTTCTCCGTGCTTTTGTCCTCACTCACACGGTACCGCAGACTACTTCCCAGTTGATCACCTATCCTGAGATTGCTCCAGCTTAAGCACGCTTAACGCTGGAGTTCTCTCAAGACTCTTGACCGGAAAAGATAAGTGCACTTTGATGACATATGTAACCAAATCAATTCTTATAAGTCTTTTTCACATATACCAGGAATCAGGATGTTACAATTCTCCCCGACTTCCAAGGAATTTGTCCTCGAATTCTCTCTAACTCAACCACGTCCCAAGACGCCACCCGGATCAGAGCCGGTTGGCTAACCTGCTCTGATACCAATTGTGAGACCCCGCTCCCTTCTTCCCTTCCGGGAACCAGACGGACCGGCTATCAAATCTATGAGATCCCAATCCCGCCTTTCATCTGGATTGGCTATCAACAACTCTGAACGCCCCCAACCGCCCCTATCAGTGAGCCCAACGCCCTCTCTAGGCCTGTGGGCCCAACATCCTGTCTCTAGGCCCGTTGGCCCAACGTCTTCTCTAGGCCTGTTGGCCCACCCCTATCCGGCGGTTGGGAGTCGTTTGGTCCGGGAGGCTCATAAGACTTGTCTACTGTCCCTGCAATCACCACGTGATCTTTTCCCGTGCTTTTGTCCTCACTCACACGGTACCGCAGATTACTTTCCGGTTGGTCACCCATCCTGAGATTGCTCCAGCTTAAGCACGCTTAACTTTGGAGTTCTCTCAAGACATTTGACCGGAAAAGATAAGTGCACTTTGATGACATAGGTAGTCAAATCAATTCTTATAAGCCTTTTTCACATATACCAGGAATCAGGATGTTACAAGAAAACTTAGAGTCTTGTCCACTCCAAAATGCCCCATTAAACCTCCTTTATGAGATTCCCTCATTAAGAGTTTTCTCATCAAACCATGTGGGATACACAAACGTTTATCTCTAAATAGAAAGCCATCATGTAAGTAAAATAAACCAAATACTCTCTTTTGGCATTCTTGGTAGATGTCACTGAAGTCTGGGTCATCTTCATAGCTCTCTTTGATGTGCTCAAATCCCATTACTTTTTCCTCTATAGTGTTTATGAGCGTGTATCTTCTAGATAGAACATCAGCGACTATGTTCTCATTTCCCTTCTTGTATTTGATGATGTAGGGAAAGGCTTCTACAAACTCTAGCCATCTTGCGTGCCATCTCTTAAGCGTTGTTTGGCCCCTCAAATGCTTAAGTGTCTCATAATCACTGTGTATGACAAATTCGTTGGCCAACAAGTAATGTTGCCATGTCTCCATTGATCGCACCAGTGCATACAATTCCTTGTCGTAGGTGGGGTAGTTCAGGGCAGCTCCACTTAGTTTCTCACTAAGTAAACCACTAGTCTTCCTCCCTGTGTGGGTATGGCTCCAATGCCTAAACCTGAGGCATCACATTCAATCTCAAAGGTTTTATCAAAATCAGGTAAAATTAAAAATCGGTGCATTGGTTAAACGGTCTTTGAAATTTTGAAATGCTTTCTCTTGTGCCGGTCCCTTTGAGAACGCCACATCTTTCTTAATAACCGCTGTGAGAGGAGCGGCCAAGATGCTGAAATTCTTGAAAAACCGCCGGTAAAAGCTTGCTAGTCCATGGAAGCTCCGAACATGTCCAATGCTTGTTGGAGTTGGCCACTCTTGTATTGCTCTCGCTTTCTCCTGATCCAACCTGTTGACCCTGTGAACTCACAACAAATCCTAAAAATACAAGCTCATTAGTACAAAAGGTGTACTTCTTGAGGTTCGCATAAAGACCTTCTTTACGAAGAGTCTCCAGGACTTGCTCAAGGTGCCTTAGGTGATCACTAAAACATTTACTATAGATAAGTATATCATCAAAATATAATACTACAAACTTACTGATGTATGCCCTCAAGACATGATTCATGAGCCGCATGAATGTGCTTGGAGCATTGGTGAGGATGAATAGCATAACAAGCCATTCATATAGACCTTGCCTAGTCTTGAAGGCTGTTTTCATTCTCACCTGATGGTAGCCACTTCGAAAATCCACCTTAGAGAAGACTGTTGAGCCATGTAACTCGTCCAACATGTCATCTAGCCTTGGTATTGGATGGCGATACTTGATGGTGATGTTGTTTATTTCCCGGCAATCCACATACATTCTCCAAGTGCTATCTTTCTTGGGGACTAGTAGAACAGTCACAACACATGGGTTAAGGCTCTCCCTGTATAGCCTTTAGACATGAGGTCTTAAATTTTTTTCTCCAACCCCTTTGACTCATTCATGCGATAAGCTCCACGGTTTGGCAGGACAGCTCCGGGAACCAGATCAATCTGATGCTCTGTTACCCTTATAGGAGGCAGTCCAGCTGGTATCTTCTCTGGAAACACGTCTTTGAAACTGTTTAACAAGGAAGTTATCTCGGGTGGAAGCTCTAGCTCATTAGAACCTGAAAGCAGCCCTTCTTTAAAGATCATTAGTAGCACAGGTGTGTTATGTTGTAAGGCTTTAGACACAATAGTAGGAGTAACGAATAGGTTAGTCCTACTTACCTTGGAGTCCTTAGCAAATTTCATTTGCATTTCATGGACTTCTATAGGCGTGAGTGGTGCAAGTTGGAACTTCCTCTTATCATGAGTGAACAAGTAGTGGTTTGTTCGGCCATTGTGCATTGTCTCTTTATCAAACTGCCAGGGTCTCCCCAACAGCAAATGACCTACTTGCATCGGCATAACATCACATACAACTCGATCATTGTATTTTCCCACACTTAAAGGAATGGTGACTTGCTTGGAGATCCTCAGCTCGGTGTCGTCATTAAGCCATCTTAGTCGGTATGGCTTTGGGTGCTTTGTCGTCTCGAGACCTAGCTTGTCAACCATGAACTTACTAGCAACATTAGTACAAGAGCCTCTATCTATAATGAGACTACATATCTTCCCATTCACGGTACATCTTGTATGAAAGATGTTTTCTCTTTGAACCGTCTCTGTGTCTACTAGAGCACTCAAGGTTCTTCTGATGACTAACATCTCTCTTGTGTCCAGGTATTCTATCTCGGATTCTTGATCAGCTGGCTCCTCATCAACGGGTTCATCTTGAGACTCATAGTCTCCGGTTGGTGTTAAGATCATAACCCTTTGATTTGGACACTCTCTCGCCGTATGCCCTTGCCCCTGACATTTAAAACAAATGACATCTATGGCCCGTGAAGTGCTAGGAAACTTACATGCTTCTGGCCGAGACACCTTAGAGCTGTCTTTCAAGTTTTCAGGTGCTGTTTTCTTGAACCGTGAGTCACTCTCCACGGCTTTTCCTTTGTCAAACACTTTTGGTGGCTGTAGAGCCCAAGTGTTGTTGTTTCTTGCTCGATTGGTGGCAATAGTCTTGCATTTGATGTGTTGCTCCACTTGAACAGATAGATGCAAGAGATCACTCATGTCTTGATATGGCTGTCTCTCCACCTTTCTAGCTATTCGGTCTTTTAACCCATCAAGAAACTGAGCCATGAGGGTCTCCTTGGTGTCAGCTAGCTCAAGTCGGTTTCTGAGTTGTTCAAACTCCTCAAAATATTTCCTCAACAGATCTGTTTCCATGCACCAACTTTCGAAGCTTCTTTTGTAAGTCTCTATAAAAATGTGGTGCCACATACCTCTTTCTCAAGTTGAATTTCATGGCGTTCCAACTAGTAATCTGTTCATAGTGGTGCCTCCACCTTTCAGACACGTCTTGATCCCACCAAAATAGTGCATGGTTGGTTAGTTGAGCCGCGGCCAAAGACACCTTCTTCTGATCATTGTAAGAGTAATAATCAAAGATATGCTCCATTCTTCGCTCCCACTCCAAGTAAGCTTCAGGGTTTATTCTGCCAGAAAAAGTAGGTGCAGTCAGTTTATTGTCATTATGATTTTGTCTATTACCTTCATCATCTCGGTTTCGGCCTCTGTTGAAGATCTCTTTTTCTCTAATGCGGCCTCGGTGGGTGGAATCTCTCATTATGTGGTTTTGTTGTAAATCAGGAGGGTCTCCTTGTCTATGAGGGTTTGGTGCATCATCTTCTAGTTCATGCATCTCTTCATCGTCTGGCTGGACATTCTATCGTTGCTGAACAGGTATGGGTCGTGCAACCTCTATCCTTAGTACTTCTAGCCGGCGAACTCTCTCCTCTATACGACCTAGTTTTGTGCCATATCTTGCCTCATTGCAGCAATAACTTTCAAGATGGTATCATGTGGTGCTATGGGGGGAATTTCCATTGCTGAAAATGCACAAAAAACAACAAAAACTCAAACGCAACTATGTAACAATTATCAAAAGAACTTAACCTAGACGCAAACTACTTAAACAAGAATAAACTTTTTTTGTTTTAGGGTTTTTGTTTCTTCGAGACTTAGCTAAACAATATGAGGTGCAACTAACTAGATGCAGAATGGAATTTTTATGGCTTTTTTGGTTGATATAAATGAACAAACTAATGCAAACTTAAACGAGATGTCTTCTTCTTCTTTTTTTTGATAGGTTTAAACAAAGCAACAATGATAAGGATAAAGACTAAACAACAAGGAATCGAAAAAGGGTAGATATCACCTGATGTTAGAACCTTTCGGCTATGATACCAAACTGATATAAGATCGGGAAGGGAACGGAAATGGTTCCAAGTGATTGGCCGAGAGACTCTTTTCACTTAGAGTAGATATGGTCGGAAGAAACAAGATGAAACATAAGCGACTGGCCGAGGGGCTCTCTTTACTTAGATCGGTGAATGAAGGATGAATTGACTGGTTTAAACGCAGCGGTTGCGGTTGCGAGTGCGGTAGTTTGCGGAAGCGGACGATTGCGGTTTTGAGCGTTATTCAGCGGTTGCATGACTGATTAAACTTTTTAAGGCGGGTCCGTTTGCAGGATATTTTTGATTGGCAAACCAGCGGTTGTTATAGCAGTTAAACATATAATTACCAAAATAAACATCATATATAATTATAAAAAACAGAAAAAATATATTATTATGATTGATATCAAAATCACTAGTTCAAAATAATTAATAAAAATTATAAATAAATACTAAATAATTATTTTGAAAATTATTAAATTTTATAATAATATGTTTATTTCAATTATTGAGAACATCACCCAAAATTGTGTCTAGTAATGTAATAGACTGGAAACAATTTGCTCCAATACGTGGATCTTATGGATTTATCTTATGCATGATGTAAAAAATTTTCAATTGATCTAATTAATTTTTTTGCACGACCCCAACTCAAATCAACTCCAAATTGCTCATTAGTATTTTTCAAAATACGTTCTTTCTGGAGTGCACTCAAAAATCTAGGATATTTATCTTGAGTTTATTTTTCGACAATGATCCGTTGAAGTAACGCACATGTCATCTCGTTTGATCGTGTAACTTTCTTAAGAACAAAAAAAAAAGAATTATAACAAACTAATTTTGTAATTAATAAGATACATATTTATAATTTTTTACTTTAAAAGTGAAAACAGAACAATTAATATAAATGAATTAAACCAAAGTATTATGGCACTTATCCTTGTATCTTAATTTTCTTCAACAAGCCATGATTAGAGACTAGAACTTGATAGAAAAAGTGAGAGGTTAGGGTTTATATATATAGGAGAAGATTAGTAGGGTTAAGGTTTTTAAATTTTTTTTAATGTGATCTTCTATTTTTTTTTCTAACGTGATTTTTTTCATCCAACCGCTACCGCCCGCAACCGCAAACGCTGGCGGGAAGCAGCTTTTGGATTATAACGGTATAAAACGGTACAGAGCGGTTTGCAGCGATTTCTATGATTGTGATAAAACGCCATTAACCGCTACCAACCGCAAACGCTGCATTTGCGGGTGATAGCGGGTGAACCAATCAACACCTTAGTAACCAAGGGGATCGATGTGACGCCACACAGCTGATGGAGAGGCTGTGATAAGTCGGTGAACTCAAGAACAAAGGAGAATCCACTCAATGCTCAAGAACTCGAAGAAGAGGCGGCTGCTCATAAGAAAATACGTTCTTTTATTAACTAGGATAAAAAAAGTTGTATCTTACAATGCCGGATGTGGAAATTTATAAACAGTCCTTTGGCCTTGACCTTCTAGGGTCGACAGAGACTCAAAAAAAGGAAATAACGTGTGACAGACTCTCAAAGAAAAATAAAGAAACAAAATAGAAACAATACTAAAGTTTTTGGCTAAATTAAAAATGAAATATAACTAAAAGGATCTTAAGACAAATTCTGCAAAACGTAGAGAGGGAAACTCGTTAGTTTAAAAATATAATTAAGCCAAACACTCACCTTGGTGTCGTTTTGACACTTAATCGTTTGTAGCTTCAAGCTCCTTGAGTCCTTAGTAGTGGCCACTCCAATGTTGGTGTGGACTTGATGCTTGTGTCGTCTTGATCTTCATGCCTTATTCCTTCCTCAAGCTGATCCTCTTCTTGAATTGATAGCATCTTATCCTCGGTTAAGTTCATTGCTACTTAATTGAGAAGTGGCTGGTCGATGCTGAGTTGATCAATGCCTTTGGTGATATCTTCTAAGTTGCTTTGATTGATCAAGGTGTCTATAGCATTGTTAAATTCATTTCTCAACTTCTTTAGTCCTGATCTTGTTTTTGGAGGGTCCTTCATAATTGGAAAAGGGTTTTTAGAGGCCATGTCCTCATCACAATTCCTCAAGATTCTTTTATATATAGTCTCTTATTGTTATATAGTTTCTTATTGTTATAATAGGAAGATATTACCAACAACTTTGATAAATCTTCTTGATACTTTATAACTTTTTGCATGCATGAGTTTCTGTTTTAGTTTTAGATTTCGTTTTCTTGTAGAATTTGTTTTCCAGAAATATCTACTTGTTCAGTCGGATTTATTTATCCTTTCAGAGCTATTAGCTTTTTCGTAATGTTACCTTTCAAATCTTAATAATAATAATAATAATAAAGATGATTAAAAAAACAATTAACAAATATGTACATTTTGGAGAAGTCACCTATGTGTCACGGGCTGATTCCTCCTTGAACCAAACCGTGAGGCCTTAGCGCTTTACTGTCCTGCGCACACGCTAAGTCAGCCTTCTAAACTCAGACCTTGATACTTAGAGAGAGAAAGTGACGTTTTTAGAGAGAAAGGGAAAGAGAACTCTTATTGCTTAGAGAAAACTTGGATCCTTACAAATGAGGGAGCTCATCCCTTTATATAGAAGTCCCACCCAACTGCCTCATTAAACCTACCACCTACCAACTACTCTCATTTATTCCACTCTCCTAACTACCAACTACTCTCTCTAGACCCAACCAAAACGTTCCACAAGGTTCTAGAGAGTTCCGGAAATACATCAAGGAAAGAAAGCATAAAAATGACTAAGTGTTGGGCCATAACCCCCTGGTTTCGACCCGTCTCGTCCTAGCATGGCCCATCACGGCCTAAGCAAAATTTTGGGCGTTACATCCTCCCCCACCCATTTTGGCGACGCCCTCGTCGTCGTGGGTGTCTTGAGCTGCTCCACGTACCGTCCCATCCTTCGTCTTGGTTCCGTAACCTCGGTTGTTCTCTGCTTTGCGCCCAACTCGCCCATGCTCCGCTGGTCCGCCCTTCGGACTGTCTTGGACAGTGTCTTACTTGTTTCCACGTCCCGGCTGGGTGGAATACCTTGATCCACAATCCGCACAGCCGTGATGTGCTGCGTTCCGCTTGTCTTCCTAACCGTGCCACTCACAGTAGGAACCACGCACGATCCACCCTCCTCAAGGATATAGACTGCGTCCAAACTGGGCACTGGCACTGCCTTAGCCTTTTCCATGAAATCCAGCCCGATCACGACCCCATAGTCGTCCATCAGAACCACCGTAAAATAGACCTGACCCTTCCATGCTCTTATCCGGAAATCCACTCCGCGTGCAAATCCGGTAAGCGGTCGAGCCTCCAAGTTAACCGTCTCGATCGCGCCCGGACCCTCTGTCCAGGTCAAACCGAGTCTTCGTGCCTCTCCCTCAGAGACAAAGTTGTGCGAAGCCCCGGTGTCTACCATCGCCTTGGACTTCTTCCCGTTGATCTGAGCCTCAACGTACATCAGCCCCTTGCTTGATTGTTTTGGCCCCATCTTGGTTACTAGTGCGTTTAGGAGTTGTATCGAACCTAACCTCTCCGGTTCATTATCTTCCCCTTCCTCCGAACCATGCTTCTTCACAATCGCGGACAATGACCCTAACTTTGGACATTCCTTCATTAGGTCCGGCCCCTTGCACACATGACATCCGCCTTTCGGGGTAAAAAACCTCTTCCTTTGCTCATACTACTCCCGACTCGAGCTCATCCCGTCAGCCTTTGAGTATGACCCCTTCCCCGATGTGTAGTGCGACCTGCGCTCACTCCTCCTTGGACTGGCTGGTCTAGAATGCTGGTTACTCCCGCTGCTCCTAGCTATGTACCCACAGTCATTCCCTCTCGGACTGACTGGTCGTGAGCTTCGATCTTCTCCCCCACTCCTAGCTGGGTACCCATCTTGCCTCCCATAGGACTTGGGTCGGTCTGGGATGGAAAAGTCGGATAAAGACTCGGCCGCTGCAATTGCCTCATCTACCGAATGGACTCCCCGCCTCTGCAACTCTTGCTTGGCCCATGGTTGCAGCCCATCGATGAAGTAAAACACCGAGTCATCCTTATTCGTGCTCGGGATCTGTAACAACAACGCGGTAAACTCTGTCACATAGTCTCGGATCGTATCTTTTTGGCGAAACTCCCTTAGCTTCTTCTGCGCCTGGTATACCACGTTCTCGGGATAGAACTGCCTCTTCATGTCCCGCTTGAACTCCTCCATGTGTCGATCCGGACGATCCCTCAGACTATCTCCGCATGTCGCCTTCTCCACCACAGCATAGCCATCTCTGCCAGGTATGAAGTCGCGGTCTTGATCTTCGACCCCTCGTCGGTAAGACCAAGGTTCTCGAAATATTGCTCCATCTCCCACAAGAAGTTCTCGACTTCTTGGGCGTCCCTCACGCCATTGAACCGTGCCGGCCTAGGTAACTCTACCCTAGCCGCTCTCGTCTCGGTGATCCCAGCCCCTCCGTTTGCAGCCGCACGCTTGCACAACACCAAGTCTTCTTGTACCTCCCCGAGGCGGTTAAGTATCTCCCCGATATTATCCTTCAAGACTTGGACGGCTCCCATCACCGTTTCCTCCAACTTCGCAAACCGGATGTCCCTTTCGATCGCGTTCTGTTTGGCTCGCTCCAACTCATCGAACACGAGCTTTTCCATCTCGGTTGTATCATGCTCGACCCTCTCGAGTCGTGATCTAAGCTCCTCTACCGCATTGCCCAACGCCTCCCGAGTAACACTTTTATCCTGCCTTGCCACCTCGTGGGCTGTAGTGGAATCCCTACCGCGCTCCTCATGCACATCGGCTACGTTGCTGGCATCCTTGCTATTCTTCTTCGCCATCCTTCTCCAACAAGCTTCTCCTCTGTCCCGGTCGTACTTCGCTCTGATACCATTTGTCACGGGCTGATTTCTCCTTGAACCAAACCGTGAGGCCTTAGCGCTTTACTGCTTCGCACACACGCTAAGTTAGCCTTCTAAACTCGGACCTTGGTATTTAGAGAGAGAAAGTGACGTTTTTAGAGAGAAAGAGAAAGAGAACTCTTATTGTTTAGAGAAAATTTGGATCCTTACAAATGAGGGAGCTCATCCCTTTATATAGAAATTTTACCCAACTGTCTCATTAAAGAAACCTACCACCTACCAACTACTCTCATTTATTCCACTTTCCTAACTACCAACTACTTTTTCTAAGTCCAACCAAAATGTTCCACAAAGTTATAGAGAGTTCCGGAAATACATCAAAAAAAAAAGCATAAAATGACTAAGTGTTGGACCATAATCCCCTAGTTTCGACCGTCTCGTCTCGGCCCATCACGGCTTAAGCAAAATTTTGGGCGTGACATATGGCTATGATTAATTTCAGTACTTTGTTACATATTCTATCCGAGTAAGGTACACACTTTGTTACATAGTGAATTGGAACCAATCTCAACTGATTCTTAAACCTTTCATATGTCAAGCTCACTCCTTAGACGGATCCTCCTCCCGACCCGGAAACCCAAACCCGACTCGACCCATTCAATCGCTTCTGCTTCCCTCACCACCGTCTCTTCTCCACCGCCCGATCACTCAAACCCTACACCATCAGATCCTCTGATCTCCGACGCCGTCTCAATCCTAACCCACCACCGCTCCAAATCCCGATGGTCCACTCTCCGATCTCTCAACCCTTCCGGCTTCACTCCTTCCCAATTCTCCGAAATTACTCTCCGCCTCCGCAACAACCCTCACCTCTCCCTCCGCTTCTTCCTCTTCACTCGCCGCCACTCTCTCTGCCCTCACGACATCGGTTCCTGCTCAACTCTCATCCACATCCTCGCTCGGTCTCGTCTCAAAACCGACGCTCGCGACGTAATCCGCCTCGCTCTCCGTCTCGCCGGCGGCGACGAAGAAGAAGATCGCGTCTCGAGAGTGTTCCGTTCGCTGATTAAGAGCTACAATCGATGTGGGTCTGCGCCGTTTGTCTTCGATCTGCTGATAAAATCGTGTCTTGACTCGAAAGAGATCGATGGAGCTGTGATGGTTATGAGGAAACTTAGGTCTAGAGGAATCGATTTGCAGATTAGTACTTGTAACGCTTTGATATCAGAGGTTTCAAGGCGTAGAGATGCTTCAAAAGGATATAAGCTGTATAGAGAAGTGTTTGGTTTAGATGGAGCTAAAGCTAAGGCTAAGATTAAGCCAAATGTGAACACTTTTAATTCGATGATGGTGAGTTTCTACAGAGAAGGTGAAACAGAGATGGTAGAGAGGATTTGGAAAGAAATGGAGGAGGAATGTTCTCCGAATGGTTATAGCTACAGTGTTTTGATGGAGGCGTATTGCTCGCGAGGTATGATGATGGAAGCAGAGAAAGTATGGGAAGAGATGAATGTTCATGATGTTGTGGCTTATAACACTATGATCGGTGGTCTTTGCAGTAACTTAGAGCTTACTAAAGCGAAGAAGCTTTTCGATGGAATGAGAACTAAGGGAATAGAGTGTACTTCTCTAACCTATGATCATCTCATTAACGGGTATTGTAAAGTTGGGGATGTTGATTCGGCTATGGTTGTTTATAAAGAGATGAAAAGGAAGGGTTTTGAGGCAGAGGGTTTAACCATTGAAGCATTAGTGGTCAGGTTATGTGATAATGACGAACACAGAGCTGTTGAAGCCGCGGAGATTGTGAAAGAAGCGGTGAGAGAGTCCGAGTTTTGTCCTAGTCGGAAATGTTATGAGTTGTTGATAAAGAGGTTGTGTGAAGAATGGAAGATGGAGAGAGCACTGAACATCCAAGCTGAGATGGTGGGGAGAGGGTTTAAGCCGTGTCAAGAGACGTATAAAGCTTTTATCGACGGGTATGGAAAAGCAGGTGATGAAGAAACATCTTCATTGTTAGCAATAGAATTGGCTGAATCACTCAAGCTAAGAGCAGAAGAAGAAGAAAAAGAAAAATAGAATTTTGAGCTTTTATGTATTTGCAAAGACATCTCAAAATGAAAATCTCAATTCAATCCAAAGAAACAACCTCATCACCATTTTCTTATTTCTGAGAGTCTTGACTAACAAACAACATTCTTGGATAGTTATGAGAGACAGAATCATACAAAATCACTCTTACATAAAACAAATGGAGAAATGAAACAGAGAGTTTTGTGGAGTAATGATCATGGCTTAAAAGATAAGAGCCCAAATGGGGAAGACGACGAGAGCAATGATCCCAAGGGTGTTGGAGATGCCATTAGCTTTAGTGAAGGCGTTTCTAAATCCACCTGAAGCTCTAATGTGCTCTTGAAGCAAGTAACATCCAATGCCTAAGCAAATAAGTGAACCAACCCAATTGTCTCTGAATGTGTAGGCGATTAGATTCGGAGCCACCACGATGAGTATAATCGCAGCCGCCGGTAATTCAAACCAATCTAATAAAACAACAACAACAGAGTAAGCAAATCAGAATGAAGAACAGAAGAAGAATCAAAGTCTTGTTCTTTTTCAATGGAGATGTGAAGAAAGAAAGGTATAAACAAACCTCGGAAGTGTTTTGGGAAGAAGAGTTGTACAACAACAGCTACAATCGCAATCCATTTACCAATTTCTCCTCTGTGAAATTTAAGACACAAGTTAGAGAGAGTCTCTGTTTTTGTTAGTAATGAAATCCATTTGTTTTGTTGGTTTTTTACCTGAAGATGCCAAAGATCAGAGAAGGAAGACTGAAGAAGATGTAAGGAATCAAAAGTGCTGTGAGCATATTCGTCTTCCAGTTAGTTCGATCCAAGACCAACAAGTATCTGCATTTTTATTACATCATAAGATCAACACAAAGAAACAGAGCAAGAGAGTGAGAGAATACAGAGAGAAGAGAGAACAGAGAGATTACATGGCGGCGACTGAAGCAATCCATTCGAGGATAGAGGTACCAAGGCCTAAACCAGTGAGCATGAAAGTGTGATTAGCGAGGTTCTTAGCAGCGATACCAAGTTCGTTGAGATCAGATCCGAGCATAGCTTTAAGGGTTCCATGGTCCCTCCTCACAGCCGTGAAAGTCATCTCTTCGATCACAGAGGAAGAAGAAAGAGAAAAGTTCGGAACTTTGAGAATCAGAGAGGAGTAGAGAGATTGTGATGAATGTTGTGAAAAGCTGGTGAGAACATATAGAAGTGAATCGATGGATACATTACTGCCACGTGGAAAATTAAACCCTTTTATGAATATTTTAGTTTGTATAAATGTGTAATCGAACTAGATATTTTGTACGTTTATAGTATATAGTTTACGAAGCCAATCGATCAATGACGAAGACGTTGCCCACGTGTCGACTCCAGCTCTTAGCACGTGACGGTGGACCTTCTACGAGTGTGTAATTGGTGGACGTAAGCAACAATGGTCCGAGCCAGCTGTATTTTCTAAATAAATTATGTTTATTTAGACTATTTCGATTATCTTAGCATGGATTATGGATAAGATTAGGATGGGGAAAATCGAATTTTGAAATTCTACACATAATTGAGTTTCCAATTAAATTTTGAAAATTTGCTTTAGTAAGTTTTAAATGTAGCCAATAATTTGATAAAAATAGAAATAATAGTATTGTATATATGTATACTAAATAGTAACTTTAGATACTCTTAAATTGTCGCGCTAAAAAGCGATATAATGCATAGTAGACATTCCTGAATCCTGTGATAGACTGATAGGATCAAATCAATTTATTTATTTATTTTTTATTATTATTTGATGTCGGCAGAGGATTTTTTTTTTTTAGTTTTTAACATTGAAAAATGCAAAAGCTTTTTATAATTATTATTGTCTTGAGGAGCGCCAACCGAATCATATATGAAATCCTTATAATAAAGGTTTTGTTTCAGCATTATCTTATTCTATATTTATATGACATGGTGTCTCCAAAATAGCAAGTAACTACCACGTTTTTTCATATTAAAAAGTAGCTACTACTGTTAGATAATTAAATTCTGGATTATTCTTAAATTAGGTGTCGATTTTACACGGATATAAATTAGATTTATGCAACTTCAAGCATACATTTTGAATTTCAACCGAAATCAACTAATTTCTCATACGTCTTCTAAAATCAACACGATCGCAACGCACTAGAATCTTTAAGCACTCTTTTGGACAAATAACTGAACTCAAATTATCCAAATTACAATAATTTGGTTTTAATTCGGTCATCCTTTACAATACTCAAACCGAACCGAACTATCATCTACCGAAACCGTTTTTTTTTCTTTGGTTCCAAATTTCCAACAACCGAACTCCTTCAAACCCAAATTACTCAATGTCGAACCGAAGCTACCCGAAAACCAGACTTGTCACATTTTCAAACTTGCCCAAAAACAAAAGGAGACAGCTTTGATTATTAGTCCAACGAATCCATCATTCTCCGTGGATTCGAATCGATGAATACTTCTCGAGTTTTGGCGGCGAGGGTTGGACCGGTAATGAGGAAGCAAGTGTTAACCTTGACGGAGGAAGCTGCCTCTAGGGTTCATCATCTCTTGCACCAGAGGCAGAAACCTTTCCTCCGATTAGGCGTAAAGGCTCGTGGCTGCAACGGTTTATCATACACTTTTAATTACGCCGGTAACATCACATGACTCTCTCTTGAATTTGATTTTCTATGGTTGAATTTTGATTTACCGACACGAAATTGTTAATTTTGGTCTGTGGTTGAATTTTGATTTACCGACACGAAATTGTTAATTTTGGGTGGAAGCAACGTATTACCAAGTTTCAATCTTTTGATTTTAGGGCATTTATTTTGAAATTTTTAATCTTGTCCTGAAGGAAACTTTAAACCTGGTCTAATTGAGAATTGGGAATGCTTATGTGTGTGTGTTCAATTGTGATGAATCTGGTCTTCATTGCATGTGTACATTAGAAGCTGTCTGGTCGTTGAGAGATCTTTCTGACGCTATGTATTTAGTGGAATGGGTAATTGTGATTTCATGAGATCAATTCATGTATGTTAAAGCAAACTTTTGTTCAGCCATGGATGTCCTCTGTGTTTGTTTGTTTCTTCCGGAACAAATCTTGTCTTCATAAAGTATTTTTTTTTTTTTTCTTGTTTCTTGAACACCAAAAAACACTCAATTATGGTTATTTAACATAAGAAAAAAGTGAACTATTTAAAAGGTTGCATTGTATCAGAAGCAAGTTTAAACACCAAAGAGATTCCTTTTTTTCTAAGAAAAGAAGTTTCGACTTGTAATCGTAAAACATACTCTTCTTATCTGATTAGTAAAACTAGGTCGACTACCAAAACCTCAACAGGTTTGTTTACGTTGACAAGCGCCGAGACCGCCACAACGACCACCTCTAAACCGACCACCAACAAAAAGACCACGACCACGACCACCGACAAAACGAGCAACACTACTATCAATCTTATTTTCATCAGAATCCTCGCTAGAATCATCACTGCTCGAATCATCACTAGTGGTCGCCTTTTCAGGTTTCTTTGTATCTATTTTAGCCTTTTTCTGGGGAGGTTCCTCATCGGACGAACTGCTCTCCCCATCGGTTTTAACAGAGCCAGTTTTAACATTAGCAGCAGCAACATCACTGTTTGAACAGCTCGCTGAGATCAACAAACCTTCTTTTCTTCCATCATCTCCTTCGTATCAGATTTTTCCTGATTCTTCAAGAGAAAATTGGCTGGAAGGGTTTTTTGTGGTCAATAACTATATCATCCTTTATTATTATCTATTATTACATTTCAATACCATTTTGATTTAAAAAAAATCGAATAATTCGAATAAATATGACACAGAAAACAAAATAAAAGAAGAGAGAGAAAACAAAAGAAGTAAAGAAAAGAGAGAGGTATCGTGTGAGAAGAAAAGAAAAACAGATTTTATTAAAAAATATTATTTTCTCTTTCCACTTTTTGATTTCTTCTTCTTCTAATTCATTCACTATTATATATTATTTTAAATAACAAAAAATACAATAATATATATTTTAAAAATATTTTGATTTTTTTCTACACATTTTGAAATTTGAATGTTTTAAAACAGATAATATTTAAAATTTGTTATATATTTCAGTTATGTATACATTAGACATGTAAGCCATGAATGTTTGAGTGATTTTTAGATTTTAGATTTTGGTTTTTGGCTTCAGGTATTTGGTTTTCAGATTTTAGTTTTTTATTTTTTTAATTTTTGATTTTTCTGTAGATTTTGGTTTAAGAAAAACTTGAATGGTGGATTGTTTAGATTTTGTTTTTGTCTATATAATACATATATATATATATATAAGACCTTGATTTATATCTTTTCTTATTTAAACTCTTTTTATTTTGTTTGAAGTGTTTAAAATTGCTAAAATAAATATATATTTTTCAATCAGAAAATATATTTCCTATATTTTCTTGTGTACAATTAATTATTTAAAGCATGTTTTTATACTTTTAAATTTTATTTTATCATATACTAAAAACTTAATAAAATAAATATATCAAACTCACAAAATTTTATAAATAGGAACTTAAATAAAAATGCACATAGATTATGTTACGAAGTTAGAAAAAACAAGCACATTGTCTACATAAATGCATATGAGATTTGATTCATGTGTTAAAAGTTATTAAATTGAGTATATTAATTTATTAGTTTTTTGTGTGTATAATATGAAACTGGTGATTTTATGTACAAAATATATTGAGCTAAGACTTCTCATATATATATATATATATACTGTTAAACAAAAAAAATCTCGACATAAAACTCCTAAATAGTAATTTTAGTTTTTGTTTGAAAATTGGAAGTTATTTTAAAAACTAGTTTTCCTAAAACCTAAGGAATCAATTTTGTCAAAATTATAATTGGATAAAAAAATAATTTTTTGAAAAACAAAACCAAAATCTATTCTAAAAACTGCAAACATTCAAAACCGTATACTTCAGTTATATATATTAGGCATGGTATTCAATTGAAGGTATTCAGTTATGCTATTCAATTGAATGAATACCTAATAGGTGTACATTGAATTGTGAATATGTAATAATTGTACACCAAATGAATGATGAATACCTTTGAGTAAATATTTTCGGGTGTATACTAAATGGTGAATACCTTTATGTGTACATCAGATGAATGAATACCAGTGAATACCAGTGAATATCAGTGAATACCAAATGTTGTACACCAAATGAATGAATATCAAATTGTGAATACCAGTGAATACTTTTATGTGTACACTGGTGTACACCATTATGTGTACATTAGTGTACACTAAATTGTGAATACCTTTACGTGTACACCAAATGAATGAACACCAAATCTTGAATATCTAAGGATGAATACTTTCACGTGAACATCTTCAAATGAATACTTGATAGTTGTATATCAAATGGTGAATACTTTTAAATTTATATATATTGCAAAAAAAAAAAATATTGTCTGTTTTAAAAAATTCAAATTTCAGTACGTGTTAAAAAAAAGATTTTTATATTTTTAGTATATATATACATAAATTATTAAATGTTTTATTATTATGAATAATTTACAACAATTGATTTAAAAGAAAAAATAATCTCAAAAGAGAAGAAAGAGAAAATAAAACTACCCTTATTATAAAACTACACATAATTGCCCAAGCCCAGAAGCTCAATAACGTCATTTGTGCAAAAAACGACTGCGCTTTATAACTGAGAGTGAGTTACACGCGTTAGAGAACAACTTTTTCACTCATGGGTTTCTCTCTCATCCTTTCTTCTAATAAGGGTACAAATGCCATTATGAAAAATTCACTGTTCAAAAATGTTGAAAATTGCACATGATATCAGAAACACACCCATTCAGTCAATTAAAAATTTAAAAGTACCATATTTCCCAAGAAGCTCACTCTTCAATTCATCTTCGGGTTCTCCCTCAACATTCTTCAAAGGCGTTGTGGCCTTAGTAACAACAGGCGCTGCTTCAACTGTTGTAGGAGATTTCTTATCCATGGAGAGAGATGAGAAGAGCGGCTCTAGAGTTGAGAGAAATAGTGGAGAGATGTACAAAAACCCTAGACAGCTGCTTAGGTTTTTATAGAAATTTCTGTGCAAGAGAACGAATCTCAATAAATCTAGGGTTTTACTTTGACCGACCTCTCTATTCTCCCCCGAAACCATGGAGGAAAAAAAAAGAATAATGAGAAAAATAAATATATAAAAGAAAACTTGTG